TTTTTTTTTTTGCTTAGAAAGAGCAACAGAAAAAGGAAGGAGAGAGGAGCGAGCGAGTCACTTTAGCGGCCAATCCAATACCTCACTCCTCAAACGCCTCTCGCATGACTCCAATGTCTCAAATAACACCCTGCTTTAGTACAGGAACAACTGTGGGGGTATCTTCAAATATTTTTAAATCTGGTTTTCCTGAAAATTATATTCCCTCATTTAGTTGGGAAGGTGAAAAAAGGGAAAAATACGATATTCAAAAAGCCATTCAAGTAGCAGAAAAAGTAATGGAAAGAAGAAAAATGGTAATGACAGATTCGGAAAAAGAGATTCTTAACCATATAGCAACCCATTTGGCATAAGATTTGTGTATAATTTGTATAAAAAATATTTGTTTAATTTAAATATTTATAACAATCTTATTATTTAATTTGATTAAATTTGCTGATTGATATTTGGTATCACGTACTTATGTTGTGAATTTTATGATTAAAAAAAATAACAAGATGGTTGGAGTTTACAATGATGTTTTGGAGCTAATAGGGAATACTCCCATGATTAGGCTAAACAAAATAACTAAAAACTATTTAGGTGAATTTTATGCCAAAGTAGAGTCTTTCAATCCAGGTCATTCAACAAAGGATAGAATTGCTCTCTATATTATAGAAAAAGCAGAAAAAGATGGACTAATTAAACCTGGGGGAACCATTGTTGAAACCACATCTGGAAATACTGGATTCAGTGTTGCTATGGTAAGCATCATAAAAGGTTATAAATGTATTCTTGCTGTTTCAGATAAAACAAAACTAGAAAAGATTTCTTTCCTAAAAGCTCTTGGTGCAAAAATTCATGTATGTCCTTCAGATGTTGCTTCCGATGACCCAAGGTCTTATTATGAAACCGCAAAAAAGATTGCAAATGAGACACCAGGCTCTTTATATATCAACCAATATTTTAACGAATTAAATATTGAAGCCCATTATAATACCACTGGTGCAGAAATATGGGAACAAACTCAAGGTAAAATAACACACCTTATAGCTTGTGTGGGAACAGGAGGAACAATTTCTGGTAGTGCTAAGTTTTTAAAAGAGAAAAATCCAAATATTAAAATAATTGGCGTTGATGCAGAAGGTTCTGTATTAAAAAAATACCACGAGACTGGCATATTTGATAAAAATGAAATTAAACCTTATGCAATTGAGGGATTGGGTAAAAATTTAATCCCTTCTGCAACATCTTTTAATCTTATCGATCGTTTTATAAAGGTAAATGATGAACAAAGTGCTTATACCACTAAAGAAATTGCGTTAAAAGAAGGTCTAATGGTAGGATACACCAGTGGTGCCGCTATGCAGGCATTGAAACAAATTTCAACAGAGTTTACAAAAGATAGTTTTGTTGTGATAATATTCCCAGATCATGGTTCTAGATACATGAGTAAAGTATTTAGTGATGATTGGATGAACGAACAAGGTTTTTTTGATAGCATCAATGCTGAAGAAGCTCAAAAAATTGAATTTATAAAAGAAGAAATATTAAAGTTAATATATGAAAGTAAAATATTTTGTGTTGGATTAGATTTTAGAGAATCAGACTTTCTCGAAGATTTAATAAAAACTGTTCCTATATTTTCTCAAGATGGAAACTATTATAGGTGGGCTCACAAGTCTTTGCAAGAATATTTCGCTGCTCAGTTTATATATCATGATTCTAAAGAAAAACAGGCAAATTTTCTAAGAAATATGTATAATAGTAAGAATGTAGAGAAATATTTTAATATTTTTGATATTTACTATGACGTTGATTACAAAACTTTTAGAAATGTTATTGAATATGAACTTATATTAGATTTTGAGAACCATATTAACAGTTTTGATAAAGATTTAAGATCTATCATTGATTCAGATAATTTAATTAATGAGAGGCTAGAATTAACATTTTATTGTTATTTCGTAATTGTAAAATTTGAAAGTAGTGAAAGTATTTCATCCCACTTTAGTAAAACAATGGAAGATTATCTTAAAACACAGCGTAACAAAAATTACTCTTTAGGCCATGGGATTATTGATCAAACAAATAAGAATTTACTTTGTATGGTTTTTACTGATCCTAAGCTATCAATTTTAAATATTTTGTATAATAAAAAAAATGATATAGTAAGACAAATCGAAGAGAAAACGGAGGAAAATTATAACTTCGGAATTACTAACAATATGGAAAACTTGTTTATCGAAAACACTACATTGTGCGATTATAATTCTATTCATAACTTTGTAAAAACCACAAATAAACTCAATGCTTACAGAAGTAATATTGTAACACTAGATTATAAAAAAGCATTGAGTCGATTAGAAGAAATTAAAAATGATTTGGAGAGTAATGACTTAGATGATATCTCTAGTAATCTATAAAAAATAGATTGTTGCAATATACTTAAGTGGCAAAAAATATAAACAATGAACATAAACGATTTCGTAGTACGCTTCGCCAATGTAAATGGTACCGGTTCGGCCTCTGCCAACTATCTATTCACCAAAGCAATTTTCAGAATGGGAGTTCCTGTGACTCCGAAAAACATTTTTCCATCCAATATCCAAGGCTTGCCTACATGGTATGAAGTGCGCGTAAGTGAAAAGGGATATCTAGGCAGAAGAGAGGGCATAGACCTCATGGTGGCAGTGAATCCGCAGAGTTTTGCGCAGGATGTAGCTAGTGTGAAATCAGGAGGTTATTTTCTCTACGATAGCACGAAAAAATTAGCCAAAGAATTTCTAAGAGATGACATCAACTATATTGAGATTCCATTGATGGAAATCAGTAATACAAATTATTCAGACCCGAGACAGAGACAATTATTTAAAAATATCATCTATGTAGGCGCGCTATGCGAATTATTGAAAATAGAGTTAGGTGTGTTTGAAGATTTGTTTGCAGAGCAGTTTAAGGGCAAGGAGAAATTAATTCCACTCAATGTCAATGCCCTGAATCTAGGTATCAATTATATCAAAGAACATTATCCAAATCCACTCACGATGAAAGTGGAGCGTAGAGATTTATTGAAGAATAAAATTCTCGCTGAAGGGAATGCTGCCTGCGCATTGGGAGCGGTATATGGAGGAGCGACTTTTGCAGCTTGGTATCCTATTACACCATCTACATCAGTCATAGATGGCTATGCAGATTATTGCAAGCAGTTCAGAATAGATAAAGAAACAGGACGGAAAAATTATGCCATTGTACAGGCTGAAGATGAATTGGCGGCTATGGGTATGGTGCTTGGAGGCATGTGGAATGGTGCTCGTTCGTTTACTTCTACTAGCGGACCAGGTCTCTCCTTGATGAATGAATTTTTAGGCCTCGCCTACTTCGCAGAAATACCAGCTGTATTAATCGATGTGCAGCGTACAGGTCCTAGTACGGGTATGCCTACGCGCACGCAGCAGTCCGACGTATTGGAGGCGGCTTATGCCTCCCACGGTGATACGAAACATGTTCTTTTATTCCCAGCGAATCCTAAAGAATGTTTTGATATGACAGCGGATGCATTTGATTTGGCGGAGCAGTTGCAAACTCCTGTGATTATGTTGACAGATTTAGATTTGGGGATGAATGATCATATCTCTGAACCTTATGAGTGGAATGATCTGAGACAATATAATAGAGGAAAAGTTTTAACTGCCGAAGGACTAGACTCAGTGCAGAAATGGGGAAGATATTTAGATGTGGATGGCGATGGTATACCGTATCGTACCCTGCCAGGCACACACCCTGAGAAGGGTTCTTTTTTCACCAGAGGTAGCTCGCATACTGAATATGCAGCCTATACCGAAAGCTCTGATGAATATCGAAAAGGAATGGAGCGTCTGATGAAAAAATGGGAAACTGCGAAAACTTTAGTTCCACCTTCCATCGTCTATCCATCCAAAAAGAAATCGGATACAGGAATTATTTTCTTCGGTACTTCAACTTATTCAGCGGAAGAGGCTATGGATAAATTAGCAGAAAAAGGAATTCATGTGGATGCACTTCGTTTGAGAGGATTTCCATTTGATAAAGGGTTTGAAGATTTTGTGTCTTCTCACAAACAAATTTTCGTCATCGAACAAAACCGCGATGCACAGCTAAAAAGCTTGATGATGATAGAACTCGGCACCGAGCCTTCCAAATTGCATTCTGTATTGAACTTTGATGGGATGCCGATTACGGCAGATTTTATATTTAATCAGATAGTAGCGAGTTTCAAGACACAAGTTTCGGGTTAAATATTTTTTTGGATACAAAATATTTATTATCGACCATATTATTACATGATTTTGAGAATTTTAATTTTATTACTTTTTAATTTTAGTTTGAATGCTCAATATTCATTAATAAAAGAATTTAATACTAATATTGATAATATAATTGGAGGTTGGCCAACCAATGATGTATTTCAAGATAATGACTGGTTATATACTACAACTGACAATTCACTAGTTAAGTTTAAATCTGATGGCACTCAGTTTCAAAAAGTAACTTCAATTGGATGCGCAAGAAGAGCTACCATGATCATAAAAGACAGCTTCTATTATTATGTATCTAAAATGAATAGTTTAAATAAATACAATAAATATACCAAAGCAGTTTCTGTAGTATACACATTTGATGATTTTGCAAATAAATGTGGATCAAACTCGATGGGTTATATTGCGTATGATGGGACATTTTTTTATATTGCTTTATCAGAAGGAGGAGTTCATTATATGGGAACTTTAATCAAGATAAAACCTGATGGGACAGGATATCAAAAACTATTTGATTTTCAAAACTCAACAGGAAGAACGCCTTTTGGAGGGGTGATTTTGGATAGCGGATATCTATACGGTATGACTAGAACAGCTGGAAATATTGGTATGGGTGGGTCAATTTATCGTATTAAAACAGATGGAACAAGTTTTGATACTTTAAAAATTTTTTATTATCTTGACGGTAGATATCCAGAAGGGAAATTGCTACTCCATAAAAACACTCTTTATGGCATGACTAGAAGTCAGGGGCCAAAATCTGGTGGTACACTGTTTAAAATCGACAAAAATGGTCAAAATTATCAGATACTTTTTAATTTCGATATTGATAGTAATCATGGTACTGATCCATTGACTAATGACATATAGTGGAGGAATGTTTTCTCCCGGATCTATTGGAGGTACTTTATTTAGCATTCATACTGATGGCACTAATTATAAAGTATTACACCATTTTAATAATCCATCTAGTCCTCAGTCAGGATTATTTAGATTGAATGATGAACTATACGGATCACTTTCACTTGGAGCTGGTACTTCTAAAGATGGAGGAATTTTTAAATTCAAGTTAAATTGTCAATCATCGGGAATTGCTAATATAGAATTAAAAAATGGGGATACATTTCGGCTAAACAATAAAGTATTTTATATACCGGGAACATATACTGAGAATATTGTTAACAGAGCAGGATGTGATAGCATTTTAAATTTCACATTATCTAAATGCATAGTATACAAAGCAATTAATTTAGAGAAAAAACTTGGAGATACTATTGTTTGGAATCAAAAAAGATATTATATAGCAGGGAATTACTTTGATACTATCTCAGTTAAAGGAAGCTGTGATTCTATATTTCAATTAAACTTCAGTTTCTGTAGGGATACAATAAAGTCAAAAATTGTAGGATTAAAATCAGGTGATTCAATTAAGCTAGGAACTAAATATTATAAAAATGCTGGGTTATTTTATGATACTTTCTATATAGGTCAATGTAAAGAAATAAATAAATATACTATTTCTGTTTGTTCAGATATCATAGTTAAAAAATTCCCAACAATCACTTATGGCTTGACATATACAGTTGGAAAAAGCACTTATATTAAATCTGGAATTTATTACGATACCTTCCTCGGGTCTAATCTATGCGATTCTATAATTATTACAGATCTTAAGGTTGTAAAAAAGTGCAAGGATGTGAAAGTTGTTTTGATAAAAACTATAAATAAAGGAGATACAGTTCGGGTAGGAAAAAATGCCTACACTTTTTCGGGAAATTTTATTGATACAATTGTCACATCTTCTGGATGTGATAGCATTGTTTTAACTTATATTGTTTTAAATCCAAACTTAAGTGGTATTTATAATTACACAAATGAGAATTTATATTTTTCTTATTTTTCTAATTTAAATCAGTTTTATATATCTAATAATATTTCCAATAACCTATTAATTAAATTTATCGATATAAATGGTAAAGTTATTTTAGAGAAAATAATCTTTAATTCTGAAGAATATATAGATTTGAGTTTCTTATCCAAAGGGATTTATTTTGTTGAAATAAGTCATAATAACTCTCAGTTAATTAAAATTGAAAAAATTAGTATTCAATAAATTTATATAACACTATAATAATAAATTTCAAGGACCAATGACCTACATCAAACCCAAATTTCGCCATCCAGAATTACCTAAGAATAAACTAGGCTATACTTTAGATTACTATGAAGGTTCGCTTTCGACACTTTGTGCAGGATGTGGACATGATAGTATCAGCGGTGCCATTATTCGCGCTTGCTTTGAAGCAAATATTGAACCACATAAGGTGGCTAAAATGTCAGGCATCGGCTGTTCGAGTAAGACCCCAGCTTATTTCCTGAGCAATTCTCACGGATTTAATTCTGTACACGGTCGTATGCCTTCTGTAGCCACAGGTGCGAATATGGCGAATCGTGATTTGATTTACTTCGGTGTATCAGGGGATGGTGATACGGCGAGTATAGGTATGGGGCAGTTTGTGCATGTGATACGCCGAAATCTGAATATGGTCTATCTCGTGATGAATAACGGTTGCTATGGTTTGACCAAGGGACAAGATTCTGCTACAGCAGATTGTGGCTCGAAAAATAAATCGGGTAATGTCAATTTGTTTGAAGGGATAGATCTAGTGAGTTTAGGTATAGAGCTCGGTGCTGGATTTGTAGCACAGAGTTTTTCGGGTGACAAAGCGCAGTTAGTTCCATTGATTAAAGCAGCGATGGCTCATCCAGGATTTGCTCTGATCAATGTTGTTTCACCTTGTGTTACGTTTAATAATAATGTAGGCTCGACCAAATCCTATGATTATATTCGTGAGCATATAGAAGCTACTTCTACCTTTGACTTTGTGCCGGAAATGACAGAGATAAAAACAGATTATTCGGAAGGAGAAACTAAGCAAATCGCTATGCATGATGGGAGTTTGATTCAGTTGAACAAACTGACCAAAGATTGGGACCCAACCAATAGAAGTTCGGCTATGAATGCTATGCTCAATGCGAAAGAAAACAATGAATTCCTAACAGGCTTGATTTATATTAACCCCGATAGTGTGGAGACGCATGAGTTAATTCAAACGAGTAAGACTCCCCTGAATCAGCTTAGTCAATCAACATTATGCCCTGGCAATATGGCTTTGGCGGAAATTAATGCGGATTTGAGATAAAAATCTTAATTCGCGAAATAGTATTCTAGTTTTCACGTTGTCATTTTAAATCGTAAAGTATGAGAAAGATTCAGTTTTTATTTATTGGTGGTGGTTTGCTTCTTAGTTTTTTCTTGGTGCAGTGCGCGAAGGATAGTCCAGCTAATAATAATTCATCTGCTAGCTACCCGAATGTTCTAGCTGCTTTTGGTAGTAGTATAGATTTAAATAATTTAGTAGATTATGCAGGGCAATCTAAGCCAAGCTACATAGTAAAAGACAATACAGGTAGTAACGGAATCACGAATGCAAAGGCAACCTTGGGTCGGGTGCTTTTTTATGATAAGCGATTGAGCATAGATAGCACTATAGCATGCGCTAGTTGTCATATTCAACAATTCGCTTTTGCTGATACAGCCATAGCTAGTAGAGGTGTAGCTAGTGGATTGACTGGTAGACATTCTATGCGATTGGTCAATTCGAGATTTGCGACGGAGACTAAGTTTTTCTGGGATGAACGAGCTGCCACTCTGGAGGCTCAAACGACTAAGCCTATTCAAGATCATGCCGAGATGGGTTTTAGCGGACAATCTGGTAGACCGGGGCTCAATGATTTATTGACAAGAATAAGTACTTTAGGCTATTATAATGAGCTTTTTCAATTTGTATATGGGGATAAATCTGTCACGGAGGCTAGATTGCAAGAGTGTTTAGCGCAGTTTATTCGTAGTATTCAGTCATTTGACTCTAAATATGATGCAGGTAGAGCTCAAGTGGCTAATGATAATGTAGATTTTCCGAACTTCACCGCTCAGGAGAATCAAGGCAAGAACCTATTTCTATCTCCACCTGTCTTTGATGCTACTAGCACTAGAACTAGTGGCGGCGCTGGCTGCAACGGCTGTCATGGTGCTCCAGAGTTTGACATTGCACCTAATTCTGGCAATAATGGAATTATAGGGAGTCTAGCTGGTGGTCAAGACCAAACGAATACTCGCGCGCCTTCCTTGAGAGATTTGGCGAATATATCAGGTACGCCGAATGGACCCATGATGCATACAGGAGTTATCACAACTCTACAAGCGGCTATAGGTCATTACGGTAATATCAATGCCAATCCGAATAATGCGAGATTGGATCCTAAGTTGAAGCCGAATGGGATTGGTCAGAAATTAAATTTTAATGCACAAGAAGTGAATGCGCTCATAGCATTTCTTAAGACACTCACCGGCAAGAACATCTACACTGATCCTAAGTGGAGCAATCCATTTAAATAGGATGAGTCGAAAGTGACTTTGGTGATTATAACTATTTCGGAACAGCAGTAGTCGGCCTACCCGCTCTCACTTCTATTTTATCTACTATGTATGCTGGAAGCCATCCCGCCTTATTGTTTTTGATAAAGCCATATTTCTTAGTGCCATTGACTCGTTCGAATTTTTTCATGATTCTTAGCATTAGACCATTGCCACCAATCAAACTTTTCTGATTGAATACTTTTTGAATTCTATATTTTTCGTCTAGAAATTGCTGACTGTTATCTCCACCAGTTAGTTTTTCATAATTCTTTACTAACTGTGATTGAAATTTATTGACCTCGTCATAGCTTAGATCTATCAGTTTAGTATTAAATTCTTCTGGCTTAGCCAAGGTAGATGTAGCCCAAGCTATACCACCTGAAAATAAGATTTTGAAATCATAACTCGTGATTCCACATTTGTCTACAGCCATTGGAATGTCTACTTCGCTGATTTTATTTAACTTCTTAGATAGGAGGTCACTAAAATCATCAACAGTGCATGGTGAATCGCAAACTTTTTCTACTATATTGGTAGTCGATTTGGTGCCCCAAGGGATATTAAAGGTGTTAAACACATTCGAGGAAATAAAATAACCACCCTTGGTGTTACCACTCCCTATATCTATGATAATCGTGGTCATGTTTTCAGATGTGGGAATAATACTTTTATGAGTAAAAATAGATTCTTGGTATACACTGACGACCTCTACCTCTCGCTCAGGATCTTTAATTACGGATTTTATTGAAGCGATTAGAAGATTGATTTCATCTGCCTTTTTCTCTCTATCTGCCGTTTGTTTCACCCCACTGCTGATAGCTAGAAAGATATTTTTCGTGTTTACTGAATAGTTTTGATTAGCTATTCTGAATAATGTGAGAACAGCAAGAACTGTGGCATCACTTGTCGCAGCACTAAATTTTATAAAATCAGAATTGATAGTCGTATCATAAATGACTTTTTTAGACAATTCATTTACAGACAGTGATGGATTTAAAATGCATAATTTTACTCCCTTGGATCCTACTTCAATCCCAGCATAGTAATCTTTCTCGCCAGCGATTGCCTGATTTTCTATTATGATTAGACCTAGAATAAGAAAGTATTTAATTGCTTTCTTCAAAATGATTTTTTTCTGCATTTCCTTTTTAAAATATTTACCTTGCCTACAAAAGTATACTAAGAGAAATAAAAATGTGGATAAAATGTCAATAGCTTGCAAGTTGAGATAAATTGTATACAGAAAACCTATTGCCTAAGTGTTTTATCCCGCTTATGATATATTCCAATTCTATTTACATACCATTTGCAATATCTTATGCGAATCCGCCCGCAATAACGAGGCAAATTTTGGATAAAATTTTACAACTAGTTAAGAATATTTGTTTACTTTCGGCAAGTTTTAGTAAGAACCTTTATTGCTTGTTCAAAAATTAAATCTTTCATAGATAATCTTCGAATAAGGGATATAGAATGAAATCGCTCAACAATAAAAAATTTAACACATGAAAATAGGTGTAATAAAAGAAACCAAGGAATATGAAAAGCGTGTAGCCTTGACTCCGGATGTATGTAAAACATTGATAGGAAAAGGGTTTGAATGCCTAGTAGAGGATGGCGCGGGGACAGCGTCTTTCCTCACCAATCAAAGTTATTCTGATGCAGGAGCTACCATTACCGTTAAGAAGACGATAAGCACTTCATGTGATATCATTTTGAAAGTAAATCCATTTACGAAAGAAGAAATCGATGGACTAGATAAAAAAGCGACTTGTATATCTCTTATGTATGCACAGACGCAGCCTGAAATTATAGCTGCTTTAGCCGCCAAAGGTTGCAGTGCATTTTCTGTAGATGCTATCCCTCGTATTTCACGTGCTCAGAAAATGGATGTGCTGAGTTCAAAAAGCAACAAGAAGTATTAAATAAACATTTTTCTGAAGCTGACTTGGTCATCACTACCGCTTTGATTCCGGGAAGAAAAGCACCAGTATTAATATCGGAAGAGCAAGTTTCTAAAATGAAAAATGGTGCTGTGATCGTGGATATGGCAGTGGAGCAAGGAGGAAACTGCGCATGCAGTGAGTATGGAAAAATTGTAGTGAAGAATGGAGTTACTATAGTAGGAGAACCCAATATTCCTTCAATGTTGCCACTAAATGCCTCCGATCTATTTGCTAAAAATGTACTCGATTTTATAACTCACCTAGCTACGAAAGATGGATTTAAATGGGAGCTAGATGAGGAAATCACCAAAGGATCACTGATGGTGCATAATGGTAAGGTCGTGCATCCTTCCTTAGTTCAGGTTGCTAAATAAATTATTATAACCACGAAGAACACAAATTTTTTTCACAAAGGTCACAAATAATATTCAACATTAAAAATTCATAATTCAACATTATTAATATGGAAATCTTTAGTTTTTTAGCAGAGCATATAGAAATGGTTTATATCGTCATATTGTCGATATTTGTAGGAGTAGAATTAATTGAAAAAGTACCCGCAGTATTGCATACACCGCTGATGTCAGGGGCAAATGCTATCCATGGGGTGGTAATTGTCGGAGCGATTATCGTCATGCTTCATATCGATGTGAATAACACATTCGGTATGGTACTCGGATTTCTCGCAGTGATTTTAGGTACGCTAAATGTAGTCGGAGGTTTTGTTGTCACAGATAGAATGCTAGAAATGTTTGGTAAAAAGAAAAAGAAACAAAAATAAATTTCGTTTGCGGAGGAGATTTTTTTAAGAAAATGAACCTAGCTCATAAAAACACATTATATTATTATAACCTATAACAATAAAAAATGGATTATTCTCAAACACTACTTATACTTTCTTATCTCATAGGCTCCGTCACATTCGTCGTAGGTCTAAAAATGCTTAGTCACCCAGATTCGGCTCGAAAAGGTAATCTTGTAGCTGCCTTCGGCATGCTAATTGCTATTCTGGCTACCATATTTCTTTATGGACATCATGGAGATGATTATTCCACTAAATTGATTTGGATATTCGGTGGTATAGCTATCGGTACAATAGCTGGATGGATTACTGCTATGCGAGTTGAAATGACGAAAATGCCAGAGCTAGTATGTTTGTTTAATGGAATGGGTGGTGCTTGTGCTGCCTTGATTGGCTTGATGGAGTATGGTGCCAATGTCGGAAATACCATGAGTTTGGCGACCATAGTAGCTGGTATGATTATCGGGTCCATATCTTTTTCAGGTTCAATTGTAGCTTTTCTTAAATTGAATGGGACAATGAATAAGCCGATTCGATTACCATATTATAATATTATCAATTCGATTGTAATGGTAGGTGTCGCTGCTATGGCTGTATGGGTGGTGATGACAGGTCAGCCAGAATCTATGGCTTATGCTCTCTTCGGTGTAGCTGTGATCTATGGATTGCTTTTTGTCTTCCCTATTGGTGGAGCAGATATGCCAGTAGTTATCTCATTGCTTAATTCATTTACAGGTCTAGCCGCAGCATTTGGTGGATTTTTATATGACAATCAAGTGATGCTGACGGGAGGTATACTCGTAGGCTCGGCTGGTACTATTTTGACCTTAGCTATGTGTAAGGCTATGAATAGACCTCTTTCTAATGTTATTTTTGGAGCTTTTGGAGGTGGAGCAGGTGGCGCATCCCAAGAAATCGATGGTAGTATCAAAGATATCTCCATTTATGATACCGCTGTATTATGCAACTATGCCAATAAAGTAGTCATTGTGCCAGGATATGGACTAGCAGTAGCTCAGGCTCAGCATATCATTCATGAGTTAGAAAAAACACTCGAAGCCAATGGCGTAGAAGTGAAATACGCTATACATCCAGTAGCGGGTCGTATGCCAGGTCACATGAATGTACTCCTAGCAGAATCTAATGTAGCCTACGAAAAATTGGTGGAAATGGATGATATCAATCCAGAATTTCCGAATACAGATGTTGTTATAGTCGTAGGTGCAAATGACGTAGTTAATCCAGCGGCAAAGACTGACCCTAGTTCTCCTATTTATGGGATGCCTATACTCGATGTAGAATCTGCAAAACATATCATAGTCAATAAACGCTCGATGAATGCAGGTTATGCCGGTATCGACAACCATCTTTTCTACAATCCTAAAACATCGATGCTATTTGGTGATGCTAAGGATGTCCTGACTAAGTTGGTGGCGGAGTTGAAGGCGATGTAAATACTGGTTTAAAGTCGAAAGGAAAAAGTTAAAAGTCTGAACATTCGTAGTTCAGTTAAATATAGTATTATGAGATACTTTTTTATGCTAGTGCGGAATCTTACCACAGTGAACGACAAGATTTGACATACCCAAGCAATAACTTTGTGTAAAATTAAATATTTTATATGAACTTATTATCATTTATGAAAAGAGAAGTATGTTCAGCACTACCTTGATGAATTTTGTTTTAAACTTAACAGAAGAAATCATCCAAATAAGTTTGAAAATCTATTACTTAACTCAATTTAGTGGTAACTTTACACACTAGCATATACTTTTTTGTATTTAATCTTTTCCTCTTTTTATTATCCTCGTGTGATACTAAACAGTTGCAGGAAAGTGAAGTAGCAAGCCAAAACCCTAAAATGGCGCCTATAGAGGTAGTAGATACTACCAAGATTAAATACGGTAAGCCATTCTTTAATTATGATGAAATTGATTATTATCACATAGATATTGGTATTCCTAAATTTAAGGGAAAGTGTGGGTTGTCTGATTCAATTCTATGCAGGGCAGTCTGTAATCTTGTTTTATCTGATAGCACTAGAAATATTTATATTTCTGATAGTGACACAATATTAGAAGAAAAAAATTTTAAATATTATCCAAAACTGGGTTTTAACAAGTATAGTATAAAACAAGAAGATTTTACACATATAAATCAAGTGTTTTGTGCTAAATCAGGCGGTGAATTAGTTTCAGCTTCTTGTATTCCTATTTATAGAGATCATCTGGTTTTTAAAAGAAAAAGTAAAATTGTTGGACACATATTTGTCTGTTTAAGTTGTATGCAATATGTTGTTAATGGTAAAATAGAGCACAAGGGCGACTTAGGTTATGAAATAGATAATATAAGACTGAGAAGAGTCTTTTCAAAGTACGATAAGAATGCCGCAAAGCATTATTGAAGTCAAATATGATATAATTAGTAGTTAGTAAAATTTTCCTTCGTGAAACTTTGTGTTAAAGAAAAAATTAACAAAACACTTAGGTTATGAAATAGATAAAATACATTTAACTTGAGTCCTTACACAGTATGATCAAAATGCCGCAAAGCATTATTGAAATCAAATAGGATATAATTAGTAGTTAGTAAAATTTTCCTTTGTGAAACTTTGTGCCAACCTTCGTGGAACTTTGTGTTACAATAAAAAACAAAAGAGACACTTAGGATATGAAATAGACAAAATTCATTTAACCAGAATCCTTTCAAAGTAAGATCAAAATGCTGCAAAGCATTATTAAAATCAGAAATTTTATCTCATTACTTTATATAAAAGAACTTAACTTAGCCTATATTTAAGAATTTAAAATCAATAGCTAATTTCATTATGAACCAAGAAGATTTAATAGATATAAAAACGAGAGCATATCAGGAAATAGGTAAACTCTTTTTCGCAGTGGCATTTGCAGACAAGAAGATTCACGCGAATGAAGTGAAGCAATTGCAAGAAACGTATAGAAAAGCTTGGCTTCACAAGGACCATACTGCTGACGAATATGGTGAAGAAGCGACTCACCAGATAGAGATTGTATTTGATTATCTTTTAGACGAACACGAAGAGATCAATAGTATGGATATACTGGATGAATTTCAAGAATTTAAAGAAGCACATCCTAGTTTCTTTACCTCATCCTTAAAAAAGCGCATCCTTAATTCTGCTATCGCTATCGCTGACTCCTATGCAGGTGTCAATAAATCCGAATTGGTGACAATAGCTAAAATTAGTGAGATATTGAAGAGCTAGAAGTTGACTTCTTCGCTTCCCCGTGCACAATTCCTCCAGAAATTACAAATTTCATCAAATCCTTAACATCCTTGGTATCTAATGGAGTTAAAAGCTCTTTATTAACCAAAAGGAGTTCGCCAGTAAAGGCATAGGAAAGTGGAAAATAAACTGAAACGAGGTCTAGAGAGATATCAAACTCTGATAAATCTTCCGTGGTTATAAATCCGATACGATGAATTCCCTCTCCCACTTTGACTAAGACAGGTTTCTCAAATTTCTTTTTGTCAGAAGCGAAAGCGCCAATCACATCGCGGATAGCTTTATATACTTCCTTGACTATAGGAACTTTTAGAATCAGAGATTCCAAACCCCTAAATACTCTATCCATCAATATACTGGTACCTAAGTATCCGACAATTATGAGCAAGAATAGAATAGTGATTAACCCTAGACCATAGATGCGAAATCCAAAAATGGAAAAGAAAATCTCTTGCACTGGCGAGTCAATTTTTGCCAATATCATCCAGAGTGCATAGAAGGTAAAAAACAAAGGTGCTATGATAAAAGTACCACGCAAGATGTACGCACCTAACTGACCAAAGTCGAATTTTTTTAAAGCCATATTTTTAAACTACAATATTGATCATTCGTCCTTGGACGAAAATAAATTTTTTAATTTCTTTTCCTTCGAGCCATTTGATGACGGTTTCATTGGATAAAGCACTTTCCTTGGCCGCAGCTTCATCCGCATCGGAAGCAAGGCTCACTTTTGCACGCAATTTGCCATTGATGGATACAGGATATTCTATCGTATCATCTACGAGATATTTTTCATCTACAAGAGGAAATTCTTCTACGATGATAGAGTCCGCATTGCCCAACTGAGACCAGATAGTTTCGGCTGTATGTGGCGCAAATGGACAGATAGATTTAAGAAGAGGGATGAGAATAGCTTCGCTCGTTGTCTTAAGTGAATTTAATTCATTCAAGGCAATCATAAAGGCACTCACGCAAGTATTGAATGAAAAGTTTTCGATATCCTTGGCGAGTTTATCTATGGTTCTATTTAGAATTTTCAATTCATCTACAGTTGCATCATTATTGGTCAGTTTAGAATTTCCATTTTCATCGAAATACAAATTCCAGAATCGCTTCAAAAATTTAGACACTCCTTCTATCCCTGCTGTATTCCAAGGCTTGGACTGCTCTATAGGCCCTAGAAACATCTCATACATTCGAAAACAATCCGCACCATATTTAGCTATGACATCATCTGGATTGACCACATTGTATTTGGACTTGGACATTTTTTCGATTTCCCATCCACAGATGTATTTCCCATCTTCTAATTCAAATTCTGCGTTGGCATATTCAGCCCTCCATTGTTTAAATCCTTCAATATTTAAGACATCGTTTTCTACTATGTTCACATCAACACGAATAGTTGTGACATCTACTTCATTTTTTATTAATCCTTTGGAGATAAATAAATTTTCATTGGAATTAGAACGATAAACAAATTGTGTTCTACCCTGAATCATTCCCTGATTTATCAAGCGCTTGAATGGCTCTTTGTGCGATACATAACCTCTATCATAGAGAAAGTGATTGAAGTAGCGGGAATATAAAAGATGTCCTACGGCATGTTCAGAACCTCCTTGATACAAATCGACTTGACCCCAGTAGTTGACCAAATCCTTCGATACAAATTCGCCATCATTCTGTGGATCCATATAGCGGAGAAAGTACCACGAAGAACCCGCAAAGGCTGGCATAGTGTCCACCTCGCGTGTATAGCCTTCTATTTCATTCACCCATTTTTCATTTCTGGCATTGGGTGCTTGTCCATCTTTTGATGGAAGAAAAGAATCTACATCGGGGTTTAATAGGGGCAATTGAGATAGATCTAGTGGAATAGGAATCTGATCTTTCCATAATATAGGAATAGGTTCGCCCCAGTAACGCTGACGACTGAAATTGGCATCGCGTAGTCGAAATTGTGTTTTGCGTTCTCCGATACTTTCTATTTCCATTCGCTCTATGACCTTATTAAATCCTTCTTTCCAGTTGAGGCCATTGATGAAGTCAGAATTTTTAAGCACACCTTGTTTATCTCCTACTTCCGTTTTTTCTATTCCTGTTTTGTCAAATATTTCGACGATTTCTATATCAAATTTCTCCGCAAATTTTCTATCTCGCTCATCCTCCGCAGGTACTGCCATGATAGCTCCTGTGCCATATCCCATCAGTACATATTGGGCTATATAGATAGGAAGCAATTTTCCGGTGAATGGATGAATAGCATAAGCTCCTGTAAACTGTCCACTGACCTCTTTTTCTGCCTGTCTGTCGATATCCGATTTAGATTTACAATAGGCTATATATTCATTGACCTTTGTTTTATATTCATCGGTCACTATTTCAGAAACCATCGAATGCTCTGGAGCCATTACCATAAACGTCGCGCCGAAGATGGTATCGGGTCTTGTAGTATAGACCCTCACCCCTGACCCCTCTCCTTTGGAGAGGGGAACTGGGGATTCGTCTAAAATTATTTTAATTCGGGAAAGAGTTTCTTGAAGATTATTTAATACTTCTTCGTTCGTAAAACGGATAACTCGATAACCTAAATTATTGAGAACAGAGGTTCGAGCATCATCGTATTCTTTAGTATTCTCATGATAACCTCCATCTACTTCTATTATTAAATTTTTTTGGAGACAAATGAAGTCTGCAATAAAATTATCAATCGGATGTTGCCTTCTAAATTTAAATTCTAATTTTCTGCCTCTTAACTCCTGCCACAGTTTATCTTCTGCTGCTGTTGATTTTTTCCTATTGTTTTTTGCATTTTCAAACAAAACTGCTGCAATAGCAGGATTTGCAGTCATATAGCCATAGCCTGATGCAACGCCCCTTCCTGTGGAAGGGGGGAGGGGGAAGGTTACTAGTGCCCCTGTAGATTTTCCAATCCAATTTCTTTGCTGGTCTTTCAATGAATTCGAAAAATCAACTTCTTCTAATCCCTGCAACAATCTATCGGCATAAGCCGTCATTCGCAGAGACCACTGACGCATTTTCTTTTTGACTACGGGGTGATTTCCACGCTCACTGCGGCCATTGATGACTTCATCATTCGCTAATACAGTTCCCAGCGCCTCACACCAATTGACTTCGCCCATACTGGTATAGATGAGGCGATAGTTCATCAAGATATCACTCTTTTCTTTTTCTGTATATGCTTTCCATTCTTCGGCTGAGAAAGCGTTGACATGATTATTGGTGAAAGCTGTATTATTATGATTGCCGTGTTCGTCAAAATGTTTTATCAGCACATCGACAGAATAAGCGCATTGGTTTTCATAACAATAAATGGAATTGAACATTTCGATAAATAGCCACTGCGTCCATTTGTAATATTCAGGACTGCTCGTCACTACTTCTCGAGACCAGTCAAAACTCAATCCTATTTTATCGAACTGTTTTTTATAAGTCGCTATATTTTCCTTGGTAGTATCTCTAGGGTCTTTCCCTGTTTCGATAGCGTATTGTTCGGCGGGCAAACCAAAGCTGTCAAAACCCATAGGATGCAATACGTTGAATCCTTTCATCCGCTTGAATCGTGCATAGATATCGCTGGCTACATAGCCTAAAGGATGACCTACGTGCAAGCCCGCACCACTGGGATAGGGAAACATTTCTAAGACATAATGTTTCGGCTTAGAAATATCGTTTTCTATTTTGTAAATATCTTTATCTGACCATATTTTCTTAGCCGCTTGGTCAATTGCGCTGGGTGAATACTGCATAGTTTGGTAAAAGATGACAAATGTACAGTAAAATCAATCATTTTTATGAGAGAAAGGTGATTGAAAAGAGATGCCCGAGTTAAATTCTTTTTCGGATTTTTGTTTAATGAATCGGACTTGTATTTTTCATATAGTTTATTTAGGCATGCTTCAAAGTATGCTAGGTCAGGGCACAGTTTATTCGCTCAGCCCCGCTAGAGAAGTCGGTTTGTTTTCGGCTGGGATTAGCTTCAATGCCCTGGGTTATATTCAGAGCCGAAACACCTCTGTTTTAAAGGTAGAGGATATCGAAAAACTGGAGAGAAATGATTTAGATGGGCTAGATCGAACAGCGACCTATAACTACTCGTTGAAAGCGAAGGGAATGAGTGACAAGTTGCTCTTAGGTTCATTGGTTTTGCCTACGACGATTATGTTTGACCCTAATCAGCGAAATCAACTAGGAGAAAAAACGACCCTATTGCTTCAAACTTATTTGATCAATGCGGGGAGCACTTTGCTTGTTAAATCACTAGTGAGGCGCACCAGACCCTTTGTGTATAATGAAAATGCGCCCCTTTCAGAGAAGCTAAAAGCGGATGCTCGAATGTCTTTTTTCTCTGGACATACTAGTTTCACTGCTAGTTCGGCATTTTTCACCGCATCTATGCTCACAGCCAATGGTCAAAATAAGGATTTAGCGCCAGTAATATGGTCAAGTGCCGCTGTAATACCTGCTGTTCAGGGTTATCTTCGCTGGAAAGCAGGAAAGCATTTCCCTACGGATATTTTCATCGGATATGTTTTAGGGGCTGGCTTAGGGTATCTCATTCCAAAAATCCATGAAGGTTTTTGACCTTTAAATACAATAATTTTCTATATTTGCACTCCTAATTCTAAAGGGCAATTAGCTCAGCTGGTTCAGAGCACTACGTCGACAACGTAGGGGTCGATGGTTCGAATCCATTATTGCCCACTTTTCAAAAACATTTTTTAGCGTAAGAGTCATTGGTTCCCTGCCTGTTCTGCGAACAAGCAGACAAGTATAGCTTTCTACTTTTAACTTGAAACTTTTATCTAGTACTTATCTCTCATCTGCCCCTTCATCTCCGTCAATAACTGCCTTGACATCAGCAGTGCAATGTTTACATTTGATAGCATCGACTGGAATAAACTCTCTGCAATAAGGACACTCTCGGCTTCCTTGTGCGCGAAAATTAGCGAGTTTGAGTTTCATGATGACCTTAACAAGTCCAAATAGCACCGCTGCTTTTATTAGAAAGCCAATCAGTGTATTTAGAAATTTTCCTACGTGAATTTCTCCTTTGAGAAATGGTACAGTTAGTCTTGACATATCTGGCACGCCACCTAGAGCAGCGATGAAATCTCCAATGATATCCGTAGATAGACTATCGACAACGGTAGAAAATGCAGCACCAATAATAACTCCAAGTGCAAGGTCAAACATATTTCCACTGGTGGCAAAAAGCCTAAATTCTTCTAGATATTTTTTAATAGCCATATCGGTGTATTTTTAATTGCTGTAATGATAATATTATTTTCCCATTTCTTCTTCCCCAAACTTTACCATTCTATTGTTTGTAATCAAAGAAAACAAGGCAAATGTTAACCTAGCTGTGGTGCGATGTAGGTATTCTAAATATAAGTTATCAATTTCATCCTTAACCGTGAGGTAGTACTTATCATTTTCGAAATTGAAGGAGGTCAAGGTAACACTGGGCACTTTGAGAATATTGTAAAACGGTGTGCATTCCGTAGATTCTTTAAATATGTCACCCTGAGCGATATTTATAAATTCTGGGTGAATGTAGCTATTTAATTGGGAGCTGATGGTGCTGACAGTATCCTGTATACATAGCAAATTATTTCGACCAGTTTCAAACGGTCTGCCGAGTATGTCCAGATTGATTACGTATTTAATATCAAGATAGTCATATTTGGAAAAGGTATCAGCTAAAAAGCCAGCGCCCATCATATTTTTATGCTTCCCAGATGTGAAAGCGAAGATAATATTTTCCCTTGGTTTTATTTTATTGAAAAACAAAGCGAGTTGAAGTACCGCTGATACACCAGTGGCATTGTCGTTCGCTCCTTTAAAAAAACTATCTGCTGTCGTTCGATTTTTAGCTAATCCTAGATTGTCATAATTTGCAGTGATGAGAATCGCAGATTTTTTTCGAAGATTTCCTCGATAGAGTCCTACTATATTATAGCCTGTTTGTTTAGCATCTATTTTATAAGGTACTCGATAATTATCAAAATAGGTTTTAATATTATAGGCACGCAGGAGGCTTTCGAGATAGACTATGCTTCTAGTAATAGATTCACGTCCTATATCTCTCCCTTCAAATTGTGGACTAGAAAGGGTAGTGATAATACTTTTGGTGAAATTGATGTTTTGACTTTCTAAAATATCTTCGAAAGTAATTGCATCCTGTGCATTACATACATGCGCCAACATTAGCAGAAATACTAATGAAGTGGATTTATATGACTTTATAATTTCGCTAACTATTCTCAAGTCTAAGTATATCTGTGATTTCTTTAGTCAATTCCTCTTCAAAGAATGGGATCCCTTTTATCTTATTAATTTTATAAATGGGTTTCTTATAGTAGGCTGCTAGATAATCAGCAAATTGCCCATGATTGAGTTCAGGAACAATAATTTTATCATAGTTGTGGACTAGAGATAGAAAATTTTTCGGGAAAGGAAATATCCAATCCAAATGCAAATGCGCTACATTTTTTACATCATGAGATAAAGAAAGAAATGCTTCTTTCACAGCGCCATAAGTAGAGCCCCAGCTCAGGATGAGTGTTCCTCCAGCAGAGCTATCTTGCTCTAGAATGCAGTCAGGAAGATATTCTGACATTTTCATAATTTTATTAAATCGAGTCTCGACCATTTTTTGATGGTTTTCGCCTTCATAGGAGATATGACCGCTTGAATAATCTTTTTCTAGCCCGCCGGCGATATAGTTGATACCAGATTGACCTATATCTGTCCATGGTCTGACTAAGCTATCTTCTGATCTATTAAAAGGCTTATCACTTTTGTACAATTCAAAATGACGTGGTTCTAGGTTAGGTATTTCCCATAACTCACTACCATTGGCTATTAATGCATCACTCAATAAAAAAACAGGAGTCTGAAAACGAATCATCATTTCAATGGCTTGTAGCGTGGTTTCAAAAGCACTGGAAGGATTCCGTATGGCTAAAACAGGCACAGGACAGTCACCGTGACGTCCTTTGAGCACCATATTTAAATCGGACTGTTCTACCTTGGTCGGCAGTCCTGTACTAGGCCCAGCGCGTTGTACATCTATTATGAGAAGGGGGAGCTCTGCCATATGTGCTAGACCTATAGCTTCTTGTTTTAAATCTATACCTGGCCCCGAGGATGCCGTCACGCCTATATGGCCTGCATAGGCTGCTCCTAGCGCCATAGTCACGGCGGCTATTTCATCTTCCGCTTGTTTTACTATGACTTCCTTTAAATTTTGTTTAGCTAACTCATGAAGAATATCAGAGGCCGGAGTGATGGGATATCCCCCGAAGAAAACATTTCTTCCGAATATTTTCGGCGCAGAAATTAAGGCCAAAGCAATCGCAGAATTCCCATTGATATTGCGATAATATCCCTCTTTGAAATGGGCTCTATCTTCTAATTTTTCTAGAGCAAATTCAATCGTCTCAGCATAATGATAACCTTTGTCTAGAGCGACTTCCATCATTTCTAATTGGGCGTCCTTAAATTTATTTTTAAGAATATCCTTTGTTTTTTCTATGGAAGTATCCAAGGCAAATGCCAGAAAACCTAAAGCGAAAATATTTTTATTTTTATCCTTGGATTTATCTTCTACTGCATAGCCAATAAGTGCTTCTTTGGTCATAGAAGAGAAGGCTACTTCCAGCTTTTTATTGGGGATAGCGTCTAACTCAGCTAGATCAAATCCCGCTAGTTTACAATTCTTTGCATCAAACCCAGCCGAATCGTAAATTAAAACTCCGGTAGGTTTTAGTGTCTTAAAATACTTCTTTAATGCCGCCGCATTGAAAGCGATGAAAACATCAGATTTATTGCCAGCTGTATTGATTTTTTCCCCACCATACTGAATCTGAAAGCCAGATACACCATGCACGGTGCCAGCCGGTGCACGAATTTCCGCAGGGAAGTCAGGGAGAGTATTGAGATCCAAATTTTCTAGAGCTACATTGTCTGAAAAGGCGTTGCCTAGAAGCTGAATACCATCTCCAGAATCACCAGCTATGGTTACTACAAATTTTTTCATTTATTATGAATTCTTAAGCACAACAACATTGGGAAAATAAACCCTGAGCTATAAGTGCTACTATGATATAAGGTATAATGCCTGATGCCCCTGGATAGTCCTTGGCTATACGCTGACCTGTAAAAAGCTGAATAAGCAGTGCAAGACAAAGAATGAAACCCCAGTCAGCCACTAGTCCACAATAACAGTCTAGAAACAAATAGGAATAGGCTGAGATCAGCATCCATCCACCAATGACTAGTTCTTGAATTGTAATCCAATAAAATAAAGGTGTAACTATAGGTTTAATGATACTCGGTTCAAAGACAGATTTGAACCAGGACAAATTATTACTACGCTGAAAAACTTTATCTAGCCCAGACTGTAGGAATGTGATAGCGAAAAATAGGCTGATTAAACCTAATGTTATGGATACTGAATCTAGATTCATGTTAATTATTTTTTAAGTAACTTGTTATACTCTGTTTGATTTGCAAACAATTTGAGGGATTCTATGATATCCTCGTCGTGCTCAAAATCATGCTCTACCACTCCTTTTCTAAAGAAATATCTGCGGATAATTTCTCCTTCCAGATATTCGTGTATGTCTTTTTTATGGATATAAAATTCATTTGCCTTCGCTTCTTTTAGTTTGGCAGCAAGTTCGTCATAAGCTTTTTGAATGCTCGGCATTAGTTTTTCACTTTCAGCTTTTTCTTTCAAACTTTTTAATTCTCTATCTACTTCTGATTCGTAGGAGAAGTTTTTAGCCTTCGTATACTGAATAAATTTTTCATACTCAGCATCCGGAAGGCGGAATGATTTAGCGGAAGCTGGCTTTGCATTTTTGGCTACATATTGATTCGCAAAGTCAGCCGTCATTCCTTTTGCCATTAGGTAGTAGACTATGGGTGCTAGAAAAGCACTTTTTGTTTTCATGTCTGGGTCTATACCTCCACCATCATAAACTATTCTACCAGCCTTCGTTTTAAACGGCATTTTCAATGAATCTGCCACTTTCTTGACAGAGCCATCAGGATTTTTTTCTGAGTAATTGATAGCTTGTATACATCTACCCGATGGAATATAATATTTAGCGGTAGTTACTTTCAATTGAGTATTGTATGGCAGTGGTCGTGTATTCTGAACCAAGCCTTTTCCAAACGTCTTCCCTCCTAGAATAACCCCTCTATCTAAATCTTGAACAGCACCAGCGACGATTTCAGATGCAGACGCAGAACCACCATTAGTCAATACAATTAAAGGGATATTCATATCATCTGCTCTTCGCTTAGTTCTATGGATAGATTGCATCTCTGCTATTTTACCTTTGGTGCTTACTATCTCATTATTTTGATCTATAAAGATATTAGTCAGGTTTACGGCTTCATGCAGAAGGCCTCCTGGATTCCCTCGAAGATCTAAAATCAAACCTTTCATATCTTTATTTCCCTCTTTGAGTTTAAGAAATTCGGCGCGCACATCTGCTCCTGCGTTTTCCATAAAGCTCTCTAATTTAATTTTTAAGTTTGATTTCTTTCGCATGATATCAGTTGACATTTTTTTGTAACTGCCATCTGCTTGTAGCCTTTCATAAGTCATTTTAAATGAAGAGCCTGCTTGTCCTTTTAGTAGTTTGCTTACCTCATCTGTTTTCTTGCCCTTCATCGATTTGCCATCTATCTCTATGATTCTATCCCCAGCTATGAGCCCTGCGAGCTGAGCGGGCATTCCTTCATAGGGTTCATCAATGATGACATAGTCATCGCGCTGCGAAATTAAACTACCTATGCCACCATACTTTCCAGTAGTCTGTATGCGGAAGTCCTCTGTTTCTGCTTCAGAATAATATTCAGTATAAGGATCTAAATCTTTCAGCATAGCATCAATAGCTACTCGGATAGCATGACTAGGCTCTACCTTATCTACATAGTGTATATTGAGCTCTTTGAAAAGAGAAACGAATATATCGATATTCTTGGATATTTCGAAGTAATCTACATCCTTGAAAGCGACTATAAAGAAAGTGGCAACAAATAAGAATATTGCCGCTAGTCCTAGTTTTAGTTTTTTCATCAACAGTTAGAGTTTTTTTTGATAACTACAAAAATAGAAGAATGTTGGATTCGAGTGATTAAATTAATTCTTTTTAATTTGAAATCAATTAACTTTGCCCTAGCTTGAGTATAGATATGACAACCAGTGAAATAGATAAGAACAAGGTGCCTAAGCATATAGCCATCATTATGGATGGAAATGGACGATGGGCTCAGAACCAAGGACAGGACCGAACATTTGGCCATCAAAATGGTGTAGAGTCCGTGCGGGAGGCTATCAAAGGCTGTTTGGAAATAGGAGTTAAATGCTTAACTCTTTATGCATTCTCTACGGAGAACTGGAATAGACCAAAAGAAGAAGTAGATTTTTTAATGAATCTGCTAGTAGAAGCCATAGTAGGAGAAACGCCAGAATTATTAAAGAATGACATTAGATTAGAAACCATTGGAGCTATAGATGAGCTGCCAGCTGCATCTTATCAGCATCTTCTCCAGGCAAAGAAAGACACCCAGCACTGTCAGTCACTCACGTTAATCTTAGCACTCAACTACGGCTCTAAAAAAGAAGTGAGCCAAGCAGCTAAGTCCATAGCACAAGCTGTTCTTCAAAATCAATTGAAGCTAGAAGATATAGATGAAAACTGTATGGCAGCGCATTTGTACACGAAAAATTTTCCAGACCCCGAGATCATGATTCGCACTTCCAATGAAATGCGAATTTCTAATTTTCTGACATGGCAGTTAGCCTATGCAGAGTTCTTTTTTCTGCCTATTTTCTGGCCCGATTTTAAAAGAGAACACCTTTGGGAGTGTGTGCGAGACTTTCAGCATAGAGAGCGCCGATTTGGTAAAACGAGTGCACAGATTCAATAATTTATTGATTTGCAAAAAGACATTCAAGAGTTAGTAGAGGCCAATGTTATTAGTCCAGAGATAGCCAATGCTATACAGGATTATTACATCCAAAAAGAAGAGTCCTCCCCAAACAAACTGGTGATTGTTTTTGGAATCTTAGGTGCACTATTAGTGGGTTTAGGAATAATTTTAATCATAGCGCACAACTGGGATACCTTATCACGAGGTATTAAAACACTCTTGGCTTTTATACCATTAATGCTGGGTCAATTAGCACTGGGATATTCTATATTCAAAAAGAAGGAAAGTAAAACCTGGCGGGAAGCCAGTGCCTGTTTTCTAATATTTGCCATCGGGGCATGTATTTCGCTAGTCAGTCAGATTTATAATATTGATGGGAATTTAGGGAGTTTTTTATTGACATGGAGTTTATTAGTCTTACCTATAGTTTATATAGCGAGATCCAGTATGGCATCTTTATTGTATATTATTCTGATTACTTATTATCTATTAGAAAGTGATTATTGGTCATCTAAGAGACAGTTTAATTTTATTTATTGGTTGTTATTTTTAGCGATTATTCCTCATTTATTCCTTCTCTTCAAACGGAGAATAGAAACCAATTTTATTAACTTCCACAGCTTTCTAATTCCAGTTAGTTTGTCTTTTGGTGTTGGATCACTTGCTGGTGAGTTTCCTCAATTGTTGAGTATCACTTTTATATCCTTGTTTGCGTACTTTTATGGGTTAGGATATATTTATAAGAGCCCACAGCAGGGACCCTTATCCAATGGATTTATTTTATTCGGCTCCTTGGCTACGATGACATGCTTATTTATAGCTAGCTTCAGAGATTATTGGACAACTATGAAAGATGTGATATGGGGAATTAAAGTTTTTCAAACAGAAACGTTTTATTTCGCACTCTTATTTTTTGTCTTAGCTCTGATGATTTATTTTTATTATTTTAAAAATAAAGGGAAAAATTGGAAAGTAGATTTACAGCCAATAATGCCTGTCTTCATATTCTTTACAGCAATATTTATAATAGGACAATTCTCCCCTCAATTAGCGCAAATTCTTATTAATATTCTTATATTGACTATCGGTGTTTTAACCATAAGACAAGGTGCAAATATGAATCATCTAGGCATATTGAATTATGGACTAGTTATCATCTCTATATTAGTCGCTTGTAGATTTTTTGATACAGATATGAGTTTTGTTTTGCGCGGCTTGATATTCGTTAGTCTTGGCCTTGGTTTCTTTGCCGTCAATTATTGGATGATAAAAAAACGAAAAGAGCATGGATAGAAAGATAATTTTAATTCTGGCTTTTGCTTTGACGATAGTAGCCCAGATTTATGTGCCCATTTCTATGATTGCAGAGAGTGAAGACATACTGGAAGGTAGACCGTATAAGTTTAAAACAGCGCCTATAGACCCCAATGACCCATTTAGAGGAAAATACATAACGCTTAGTTTTAAAGAAAATTTTTGTATAGTCACGGATAAGAAGGAATGGCTGCCAGGCGAAGAGGTTTACGGTATTTTGGCAGAGCGTCATGGTTTCGCTTATATCCAATCATTGGAAAAGGAGAAGCCTAATTTAGAAAATTACCTCCATCTTAAAGTTCGATTTCAGGATGATTTTGATAGTCTAAACAAAGTCTATTTTGACCTCCCTTTTGATAAGTACTATATGGAAGAAACCAAAGCCCTTGCAGCAGAAAAAATCTATAGAGAAAGACAATTAGACATAGTCAGAACCACATATGCCATAGTTTATATAAAAGATGGCAAGGGAAGGCTCTCGGATGTCAAAATTGGGGATAGCTCTATTAGAGATATGGTGAAATAAAGGGTATTTCTTTATTACTTTTTGCAAAAATTTTATAACTGAATGCAACAAGTTGATTCTTTGTAAGAATTATCTTTGCATTATACCACTGTTACAAACTAAATAGTATCAATTTGTTTTGTTTGGTTACAGTGGTATTAGTTTTCTCATAAGTGCATTGTTCATTTTTAAAATTATTTATCATGAAACAGATTTTATCCAGTTTATTTTTAGTTTTATTTATTTCATCTAGTGCTCAATTCTCAACCCTAGATATTCTGCCTACACAGGGGAGGTGGTCTATATATAAGGGTTATATGGATGATATGGAAATAGAAGTAATCCCTGATGGACATAGAGCTAGGGTGGAAATGACCTTTGTCGTTTATGTAGATTCCATCAATAATCACCCTAATAATTATTATGGCAAACTACCTTCATATAAGGACAATTTATTAGAAGCACAAATGAAGTTTAAAATGCCAACGGATGCTTTCTTTTATGATTCTTATTTATGGCTCAATTCGTCTACTATTATTCGAGCGAAGTTAATGCCAAGAGGAGAGGCTAATTGGGTTTATGACTCTATAGTCAATAGAAAAATCGACCCATCCATATTACAGCAGGAATGGGATGATAACTACTCTTTGAAAATATTTCCGATATCAACTACATTTGCTAGAAAGGCAAAAATTGCATTCAGTGTGCCGTTTAAAGTAGAGGAAAATGGTAGAGAATTTGTAGAACTGCCAGAGGAGATTTTAAAGCATCTGAATTCGAATTCACAAACGAGACTTATTTTAAATCATAAAGCACAGTTTAAGTTTAAACATCTTGTGTTTCCACTTTCTGGAAAAATAATAAATGAAACAAGCAGTTCTGTAACCATGGATGTAAAAAATAGCAATTTGCTCTCCAATCCGAAATGTTATTTAGAATTTCAAAATGATAGGCCGAAAAGATTATTGTCTTTATTTCATCAGAAGCTGAATGCTGACGAAAATTTTTATGACCTAAGAATATTTGCCAAGGGGTTAAGTAATTTAACTAAACCAACGAGTTCTTTTAGCGTGAAAATCCCACTTATAGATAATGGATTTATATATCAGTCATATAACAATAACAGTGGCCAACTCAATTCGAGTAGTTCATATATAGAATATGGAGGCATACATGGAGATATTGATTTTGACAAACCAATAGAGTTAAGATATAAAAATGGATCGACTTTCTATACCCATGCGGATACGATGGAGTCAGGCAATTTAGGCGAATTTGTTTGCCAAAACTGGGCCTACCAGTTTAGTCAAGTATTTAAAAATACAGAAACTCAAACAGCCTCTCTTAAATATAGAGTTTTAAATAGTCAAACTGCTTTTTTAGCATTGGAGAATGGGGATACGGTCACTACTACTAAAGGAAATGATATGATAGGCACTGGAGGTGGATTTAATTCGGCAATTCAAAATTCATTAAAGCAAACAATTGCAATCTACCCCAATCCAATAGTCAATGACTTTACCATTGAGAATAATTCGGACATAGTTTCAATCAGAATTTTAGATATAAGTGGAAGAGTGATTTTTTATCGTGAACTTCCTAAAGGCACCAAACTGATCGAATTAAATAGTGAGCAATTGGGCATGAAGCGAGGAATATATTGGGTGATGGTTGAAGATAAAAATCAACCACATACTCTTAAAGTAATAAAAGAATAAGGGAGCTTATCTATTCACAAACATCCACTCGTATAGCTACACGTCTATTTTTGGCTCTACATTCCTCTGTATCATTGGCAGGACAGATAGGATGTTCTTGACCATAACCTTCATAACGCATCCGAGCTGAATCAATTCCTTTAGACGCAATAGCGCGTGAAGCCGCAGCGGCTCGAATAGCAGAGAGACGAATGTTGGCTTCTGGATTTCCTACATTATCTGTATAGCCACCAATTTTAAATTTCTTATTAGGGTAGGACTTAAAAATTTTAGCGAGCAAGGTTATCTGCTCATTAGAAATTTCTTTCAATTCATCAGTTCCAGATTTGAAAAGAATCCTATCCATGTCAAACCACGTTTTTTTCAGTTCACTTGTTCCACATTTCGCTTCTAGATATTCTACCAGTCTTTTTTCCGTTCCATTTTCTGGCACATTGAGTACCGAACCGTCAGGCAGTCGAATGGCCACCATTCCGCCTAGAGTTTTTTCCCATGTAGCTTTCGCTTGAAGAGAAGCGGCATCCAACTGCTGGCTTGTATCAGCTTGAATACCATCTTGTTTAATTCTGGCTGCTGAGTCAGCGACCTTGTCTTTATTTACTATCCTTCCTATTGTCTCACATCCCTTCATTTGAAATAACCACCAAAGGAGAGCAGCTAAAAGTGCGATAAGGATTAACCACAATAACCAGCGCCAGCCTCCTTTCTTAGCCTCCATGTTTTCTTCTTCTAGGATAGCACCTAGTTTAGTTTTCTTTTCAGCTTTTTCTGTATTAGAATATAAGTAGTCTGTTGCTTCTTTAAGATCAATAACCTGTTCTATTGGTTTATCATGATCTATAGTTACTGTGATGGGCTCTACTATGGTCGTTTCAGAGCTGTTTACTTTGGTTTCTTCACCAATTACATTTAATGGAAGTTCATTTTCTTTTTTTAATACTACTTCTGGTTGAGTCGCTAGGGGCACTTCGGTATTTTTCACTTCTTTTTGAAAAGATTCTAAGAGTGGAGTGCTCAGCAGTTTTTTATCCGTCTCTTCATGGATAGGTGATTCAATTTCTTCTAATTCTAATACATTGGATTCTATTTGAGGTATGACGGTGTCTATAGAATCAGATGGCAGAGTGTTTTCGTTATCAATTATTTCGTCAGACTCAGGTGCTTCTTCTGCTACAACGGTTTCATCTGAAGTAATATTTTTTTCTTCTAAAATTACTTCATCTGTATTATCGGAAACTTCAGGGATAGTTTCTGATGCATTAGCGTCCGCTTCGTTTATGAGCCCTAAAGCTATAAATGTTTCTATCTCTTCTTTCATCGGATAGCTTCGTGCTATCTCTTTATTATTTCCAGCTACCAGAAAGAGAAAATGTGCCCCATGGGCAGAGGCAGTTCTATAATTATTTCTATCGCCACCATTTTTAATAACAGATAACACCCCATTGTCACGGGCGGCTGCTGTGGCATAGCCTTCACTTCGGAGGAAGACCTTGCCTTGTTTTATCCATGCAAAATAGAATGAACCATTTTCATGTTTAAATGATATAAATTCTGGGTGTTTTTCCGATTTAGAATCTGAAATTCTTTCTTCGTATTCTCTTACTATTAGATAATTATCTTCCATAACAAAAATTTATGCTAAGCAAAGATAAGACGTAATACCATTTATGTAATAAAAATAAACCAATCAATATTGGGTATAATACTGTCCTTGAATTAGTTTTAGTCATTTTTTTGACCGATGACTAATTCATATACTGTATAAATTAGATGCCAAGAAATAGAATCTGATAAGAGTGAAATTAGCTAAAAAAATCTTTCATCTTACTAAAGAATCCTTCTTTTGATTTAGCATTAATGTCAGGATTGAAGTTGGATGAATTCACTAGATTCTCCATAGCCTTTTTTTCTTCAGCAGATAAATGCTGAGGTGTCCAAGCATTGATTACTATGAGTTGATCGCCTTTTCCATATCCATTGACATCAGGGATACCTTTGCCACTAAGTCTTAAGATTTTTCCAGCATGTGTGCCTGCTTTGATATTGATTTTGACATTGCCATCAATGGTTGGGACTACGATATCTGCTCCTAATGCTAGTTTAGCAAAATTGATATTAAGATTATAGATTATATTTTTATCATCACGTATAAATGTAACATGTTCTATCTCTTCAATTTGCACTATGAGATCTCCTCTACTACCACCGTTCTCACCTTGATTCCCTTCTCCACGAAGACTTAGGCTCATACCTTGTTGCACGCCAGCCGGAATATTGATATCTATGGCGTCTTTACTTACATTGACTCCTTTTCCATTACATACCTTGCATGGTTTGAGGATGACATCTCCCTTGCCGTCGCAGGTAGGGCACACTGTTTCTGTTTGGAATTGACCGAGAAAAGTAGATTGCACCTTGCGTATGACTCCTGAGCCATTACAGCGCTTGCAGTTTTCTTTGGCATTAGCCTCACTGGCAGCTCCAGACCCACTGCATGTTTTGCAATTGGTCTTGCGCGGAATATTGACTTTTTTTGTTACTCCTTTTGCTATTTCTTCTAGTGTGAGTTTAGTGGTGATACGAATACTCGAACCTTTATTGCTTCTAGTACCTCCTCGCGCTGATCCTCCGAAGAAGCCTTCAAATCCGCCACCGCCGCCTCCGAATACGTCTCCAAAGTTGCGGAAAATATCTTCCATGTTCATACTGCCGCCACCGAATCCGCCACCACCGAATCCGCCATTGCCATCAAATGCTTGATGACCGAACTGATCGTATTTTTGCTTTTTTTCAGCTGTGCCGAGGACATCATATGCTTCCGCAGCCTCCTTAAATTTTTCTTCCGCAGTTTTATCTCCTTGATTTCTATCAGGATGAAATTTAATAGCCAGTTTTCTATAAGCATCTTTAATTTCCTTGTCAGTGGCGCCTTTACTGACACCTAATACTTCGTAATAATCTCTTTTTGCCATTTGACTTGCTCCTAATTTATTTTTTTAGTGCTTTGAACTTTCTATCTTAGACTTTTTGCTATTTTCCTACAACTACTTTAGCAAATCGTATGACTTTTTCATGCATCATATAGCCACTTTCTACCTCGTCTATCACCTTACCTTTTTGGCTATCGTCAGTCACAGGTATTTCCGTGATTGCTTCATGTTTTTCTACATCAAAATCACAACCTTTAGCCTCGATTTTCTTTACCCCTTTCTTTTCTATAGACTTGTTTAATTTGTCATAGATAAGTCGCACTCCTTCTTTTACTGCTGACAAATCTTCAGTATCTTCAAACGATTTAAGTGCACGTTCAAAATCATCATTGACAGAAATCATTTCTAGAATTATATCCTTACCAGCAACTGCATAGAATTCTCTCTGCTCCTTAGCTACTCTTTTTTTATAATTATCAAACTCTGCAAAGAGCCTTAAAAATTTGTCCTTCTGCTCTGATAGTTGAGTTTCTAGCGTGTTTTCTGTTACATCACTATCCAATGGTGTTTGTTTAGTTTCGGTTTCTATCTGGCCATCTTGTGTAATCTCCTGTTCTTCTGCGCTTGTTTTTTCCTTATCTTCCATTAGATTTAGTTTTTACTTTATTCAATATGCATCAAATTGCCTTCCAAATAGCTGGATTTGGACATTTTGTCAGAATAAAAATGAAATTTAAGGATTGACTTGAATGCTGAATTTCCTTTCGACAGGTAAAAGTGGATTAGCTATCCGTTTATTTTTAACATCTAGTAATTCTAATTTTACGGTGTGGTCTCCTATGGCTAGGCCTTCTATTAGATATGGGCACCATTTGTTGACCGTAAAAATATGTTGATTATCTATTGTTACTCTTACTTTATTGCCTGTTGGTGAGATATGAGTGTTGACTAAATAGAAGTCTAACAAAATGTTTTTTGTATCTTCTCCAGTATAGATGCCCTTTGGCCGAGAATAGAAAAGATAAGGTTGATTCAGGTTGTACTTTTTGTTTGGCTTACCGAGATCTATTTGCTGGAGCTTAAAGGCTTTTGGATGTTTGATACTCTGATGATGTGATCTAGATAGAAAGGAGAGAACCAGATGTGAGCCGCTATCTTCTTTTAGTAGATAAGTTGGCTGATAAATAGCTGTATAGGGTTTATTATCGACTATGACATGTATATGCTGTCCATCTTTGGAGTTTGCACAGATGCCAGTGATGTTATTTTTTGAGTTAGCCTTGAGTTCATAATTATTAACTTGGTAAACAAGTTTAGGGCTATCAACGAGGGTCTTATCGTATCTAGCTTCGAGGAGTTCTGCTTTAGCGTGTTCATTAGATTCTTTGACAGCAGTTACCTTTATACCTCCATAGTTATAGACCACTCCTGTAGGTGTGGCACTCAGGAGACATAGACCGAGACCATATTGGAAACATTGTTTTAATGAAATCATAAAAAATGAATTTAAAAAGAAAAAGACTATACTAATTTTTAATACCGCGCTAGAATTAGTTTTGGTCTCCCGTACGTGCGGGATTGACCAAAACTAGTTCTTATGCGGTAAGCCTTTAAATTATTTAGCTACGTTGACCGCTCGTTTTTCACGAATGACTGTCACTTTTATCTGACCAGGATAGGTCATATCATTCTGTATTTTCTGCGCTATTTCGAATGATAAATCTTCTGATTCTTTATCATTGATTTTATCGCTCTCTACTATGACTCTAAGCTCTCTTCCTGCTTGAATAGCATAGGCTTTCTCTACACCTTTGTAGCTTCCTGCTATCTGCTCTAGTTCTGTGATTCGCTTCATATAGCTCTCCATGACCTCTCTTCTAGCACCTGGTCTAGCACCAGATATAGAGTCACATGCCTGTATGATAGGAGAAATCATAAATTTCATTTCTATTTCATCGTGGTGGGCACCTACGGCATTGCATACGGCTGGATGTTCGCCATATTTCTCGCATATCTTCATACCTAAAAGGGCATGGGATAATTCGGATTCTTCATCCGGAACTTTTCCAATATCGTGGAGAAGTCCAGCACGCTTAGCTAGCTTAGGATTTAATCCTAGTTCCGCAGCCATGGTCGCACAAAGATTCGCTACTTCACGAGAGTGCATCAATAGATTCTGACCATAACTGGAACGGAATCGCATTCTTCCAATGTATCTTACTAGTTCGGGGTGCATACCTTGAATATTCAAATCTAGAATAGTACGCTCGCCTATTTCTACGATATGATCTTCTAGTTGCTTTTGGGTTTTCAATACTACTTCTTCAATTCTAGCTGGGTGTATGCGGCCATCGGCTACTAGACGCTGAAGTGATAATCTAGCGACTTCTCTTCGTATAGGATCATAACCTGATATGATGATGGCTTCTGGCGTATCATCTACTACCAATTCGCATCCTGTAGCTGCTTCTATCGCTCGAATATTTCTACCTTCTCTACCTATGATTTGACCTTTCTGGTCATCGCTATCTAGGTTGAATACAGAGACGGTATTTTCTATAGCATATTCTGAGGCTGTTCGCTGTATGGTTTGGATTACGATTTTTTTAGCATCTTTATTTGCTTTATTCATAGCCTCATCATAGACTACTTTGGCTTGCTTTAAAGCTTCACCTTCTGCTTTGGCGCGAACGCTTTCTATCAATTGATTTTTAGCATCTTCTCGGGTCATACCCGATATTTTCTCTAATTCTTTTTGAAAGGTTTCATATTGCTTATCTACCTCACCCTGTTTTTTTTCTAGTGTCTCTTGAGATTTAGCTAGTTGTGATTTTTCGTTTTCTAATTCTTTCTCTTTTCTAGACTGTTGTTCTATTTTTTGGGAAAGTTGAGATTGTCTATTTTTAAAATCAGCTTCTTTTTGAATCAGCTTTGATTCTCTATCGCGTGTGCTCTTTTCAAATTCAGCACTTAGTTTTAATTTTTCTTCTTTGGCCTCTATGAGCTGATTTTTTTTAATGTTTTCAGCTTCTTTTTTGGCATTTTCTACTACTCTTAACGCTTCTTTTTTACTCTCTTCTTCCAGTTTGGTTACGTCAGCAGAGACGCTTTTTTTACCGAAAATAAATCCGGCAATAAGACTTATCAGTCCTATGGCTCCACCTATGGCGGCTAATAAGATTGGATTTTCCATGATTCTATCTAGTGTTTATATATTAATTTAAAAAATTAAATCAATATTTCCTGATAAGAATAGACTAGCTTTCTAGTGCGGTATGGAGAAGACCTTCTATCTTTTCGATTTCAGGCTCTATGGAAATGTCAGAGACAGGACTAGCTGTATTTTGGCTATTTTGCTGCGCGTACAATTGCAATATACACATGGCTAAATAGTCTTGGTTATCCTTGGCATCATAGGCAGATTTTAACTGTTCTATCCTGTGATTGACGGATTTAACTATACTAAGTATCTTTTCCTCATCCTGTTTAAAGATTTTGAGGGGATACGTTCTATTAGCTATGACCACCTCGCGATGGACTCTCTCCTGCTGACTCATAATTTCTCTATCTGCGCTATACAGTTATCTATTTCAGATATATATTGATCTATTTGAGCTTTTATTTGATCTTTTGTTAAATTCTCAGCCGCTAAGGTATTGAATTTTAGGTTATTTTCGTTGTTTTCTTTTTCCACTAGTAGCTTTTCTAGGTCATTTTTTAGTCTATTCTGCACATCTCTAGATAGTTCTATCTCAGATTTTAACTTTTCATTCTCAGATTTTAACTCTTTGTTAAGAGTCACAAGTTTCTGAATTTTCTCGTAAATAGATTCTAGACGTGCTTGCATATTTTGAAGAATTAGATGTTAGTCCCGATAGCTATCGGGAAGAAGTGAGATCTTAGATTTTAATTATAAAACTGAATTATAGCCTCGCAACATATTTAAACTTTCCACTTTTCACTTTAGACTTGTAACTTATAATTATCCCGCTTCCGCTTCTACTTCCATTACTTCAGGCACCATGCGCTTTAGTAGACCTTCTATCCCCGACTTTAACGTTATCTGTGAGGAAGGACAACCACTGCATGAACCTTGCATTTTTAACTTGACCAATCCATTTTCAAATGAGTGAAAAGCTATAAACCCTCCATCCTTCTCTACGGCTGGCTTTACATATTTGTCCAATAAATCTTTTATCTTGCCTTCGATAGTATCTTCTTGTATTTCCATTTTTTCAGCTATCTCTCGATCTAGGAATGATTTGGTCACAAGTTCTAGATTGGTTTCAATATACATTTTGATATAATCCCTGGCTTCGTTCATGAATTCATACCAGTCATTGGGACTATTCTTAGTTAATGTAACGAAATTATTAGAGACAAAAACGCCTGAAAGCCAATCAAATTTTTCAAAAAGACTTTCAGCTAAGGGAAACTCTGAGGTATCTTCTCCTTTTCTTCGGTCTATGATTATATTAGGTAGCAATAGTTTACTAGTGACTAATTTTAGACTATCGGGATTAGGTGTTTGCTCGAAATATATTTCTACGGGTGCACTCATTGGATTTTATTTTCTTATTATACCATTTATAATTAGCTTTTTTGTCAGGTTTTTTTCTGGTTTAATGCCGACATACATTGACTTATGGTTAAATTTATTGGTCTATTTTATAATGTATCGTCGGTATTACAACACTATTTGACTTCAATTAATTTCGTTCTAGGTTCTTTAAATTAATTTTTGGCAAGGGATTTTCACGCATAGTTTTTTGTTTAGCCCGCATATGGTAGATGTCTAAAGCATTAGTAATAGCGTTATACATCGAGTTTGAGTCTACAGCGTCAGTACCTACAATGTCTAAAGCTACACCGTGATCTGGTGACGTACGTACATAAGGTAGATTGGCTGTGAAATTGACGCCATCCCATCCCGAGATATATTTAAATGGTATTAATGCTTGGTCATGATACATTGCCAGAATGCCATCGAAATGCGGAAATTTGGCACTTCCAAAAAAACTATCTGCAGAAAATGGACCTTGTACAATCATTTTTTCACCTTCAGCCTTCTTTATAGCAGGAGTGATTTTTTCAATTTCATCCTTGCCTATTTTTCCATTTTCCCCGCCATGAGGATTGAGGGCTAGTACGGCTATTTTAGGTCGCTGGCACCCAAAGTCCATAGTAAGAGATTGGTTGAATAGTTTTATTTTTTCATATATCAGCTGTGTGTTCAGTGTTTTAGATACATCCTCCAATGGTATATGCTGAGTAACCATAGCTACTCGCAGTGCATCAGCGTTCATCACCATCAGTGTATCTTTTGTATTCGCTTTCTGAGCTAGATACTCTGTATGACCTGAAAATGGTGGATTGGTAGTAATAAAGGCTTTATTAACTGGCCCAGTCACTAGAATATCAATTTTATTCTGCTGTAAGAAAAAAAGTGCATCATTGATAAATCGCAAACTCAAAGAACCTGAAAATTCATTGGAAACACCCATGTTTACCTCTACTGGCTTGTCAGCACATTCTATAAGTGTGGGTAGCTTGGAGTGCAGTTTGAACTCACTTTGCTTCTGCAAAATATGAAAATTTGTTTTTAGATTCGGAAGCGTCTTTTTATAAAACTGCACTACACTTTCCGAACCGAAAACGACTATTTGACATTGTTTAAAGATTCTTTCATCTTCCAAAGCTTTGAGGATGACCTGTGGCCCGATGCCATTGACATCGCCCATAGTTATACCTATTACGGGTCTCTTTTTTTCCTCTACAGACATTTATATTTTAGATTTAAAAAACTGATATAATAATCGAACACCATAACCTGTGCCTCCTTTTGGCTTATAGTGCTCTGGCGAAGTAAGGAAAGATGGTCCTGCTATATCTAAATGTATCCATGGATAATCTGTGAAACGAGCTAAGAATTTTCCAGCCGTGATGCAGCCACCTTCTCTACCACCTACATTTTTGATATCAGCTATGTCAGATTTTATGAGTTCATCATATTCATCCCAGAATGGCATTTCAGCTACTCTTTCATGTGTATCATAACCTACTGCCGTCAATTCATTTTTGATGTCTTGTGAAGCAGAGCCCATAATAGCAGCGCCGTATTGACCTATAGCCATGACTTGCGCTCCAGTGAGAGTAGCTAAGTCAAGTACTAATTCTGGCTTATATTTTTTGGCATAGTCTAGTGCATCGCCTAGTATTAATCTTCCTTCTGCATCAGTATTGAGAACCTCTACAGTGATACCTCCTCTTAAGGTAATTACATCTCCAGGAGTATAGGCCATTTCGCCTGGTCTATTGTCAGTAGCAGGGATTAAACCTACTACATGTATAGGTAATTTATTTTTAGCTATAGCATACATAGCACCTACTACGGCAGCTGCACCAGCCATATCAGACTTCATAGAATCCATACTGCCAGCTGTTGGCTTGAGGGACAATCCACCTGTATCATATACGACACCTTTTCCAACTAGGACATATGGCTTTTTATTTTTTGCATTTTTAGGTTTATGCTCTAAAATAGTAAATGTAGGAGGTAATTGGGAGCCAGAATTGACAGCTAATAAACCCCCCATTTTTTCTTTCACTATTTCTTTTTTATCAAGTACCTTGACCGTGAAATTAGCGGCTTTGCCTAGTTTTTTTATTTCCTGACTAAGGCGCTCAGCGGTAAGGGTTATTACAGGCTCATTCACTAAGGTTCTTGCAAAATATACGCCAGTGAGGACTTCATTTAGCTCTGCGAATTCAGCTGCCTTAAGTCGAGCATCATCAATCGTTACTTTTTTGAGATAATTTTTCGTTTTCTCAGATTTATAAGTCAAAAACTGATAGTTGGATAAGACAATACCCTCAGCTAGACATAAGCTAAGACTAGGTTCTGATACATAGGAGGTGATGCATACATTCTCTATCTGAAACTTTTTTGTCTCCTTGAAAAGCGTTGCACCCTTGCGTCTGCACTCTTCTTTCGATCTGGCTATACTATCTTTAGCTACTTTGTCTATTTGCACTACGATCTTGGTTTCCTTTTCAGAACGAAGAATGGCTATTCCGCCATTTTCAGCAGATTTTTTTAATTCGGCTAATTCCCATGGAGTAAAACCCATTTTAGCATTGGCGCTCTTCTTTTCTAGAATATAGACCTTTTCTTTAGCTACAGTTATTTTTCCTGCGCCTATTTGGATTGGTTTTGAATCTAACATAATTTATATTTAATATGGATAAGGTTTAAAAATTAGGTATAAATTTGCAAAGCTAATAAAATATAGTATAATAAAGTTCTTAATATCCTTAAAATCGGAATGAATTGGAGTTAAAAAAGGCGCTAGGACAGCATTTTCTGGTAGATCAGACTATTTTAAGTAGAATCGTGGAAGCTGTGCAGGCATTGACTCCATTGGAAACCGTTATAGAGGTAGGTCCAGGTATGGGCGCTCTCACTCAGCATCTAATGGTCTTGGATATCCCAGACTACCGGTTAATAGAAAAAGATGATAGATTTGTATTGGAATTACCAAAAAAATTTCCTAAACTTGCGGATAAGATTTACCATCAAGATGTACTAACCTTTGATTTTAAGACTAGTATTGGTAAGGAAGTTAGTATAGTAGGCAATTACCCATATAATATATCTAATCTTATCATGTTTTGGATTATAGAAAATTCGGAATTTGTAGTGAATAGTGTAGGAATGTTTCAAAAAGAAGTAGCCAAGCGGATAGCCTCAAAGCATAGCACCAAAGATTACGGCATATTGAGTGTATTGACTCAGGCCCTATATGAAGTGGAATATTTATTTGATATTCCATCGGAAGCATTTGATCCACCACCAAAAGTGATTTCAGGCGTGATAACTATGCAGCGGAGACCAACGCCGTTAGCAGAATATAATCAATTGAAAAAATTAGTCAAAGCAGCTTTTAATCAGCGGAGGAAAATGCTCAGTAATTCTCTAAAAGGATTGCAGTTTAAGGAAACCGCCCGTTACGAGCTTTTTAAAAATCTTAGACCCGAACAACTGAGTGTAGAGCAGTTTTGTGCCTTGTCGGAGGATTTGGTAATTAGCAAATGAGATGATTTGAGAATGTGATGATAAGCTGATTTGAAAATGAAGCTTGTGTTTTTGCAATTTTCTCGTATCTGCATACACTGAACAAACTAATAAGCTGAAATAACTGACTACTGAACAAACTGAAAAAACTGTCCACTGAAAAATGATAAAGAAAGCACTAATTACTGAAGAGTTTCACCAAAGCCTGACTGACGGGTTAGAAAAGCTTGGCTATAGTTGTGATCAGTTATGGGATGTCACCACGGAATCCATTCAGGAGTGTATAGCCGAATATGAAATATTAGTAATAAATAGCAAAATCAATTTAAACAAGCAACTGATAGATCTTGCAAACTGCCTAAAATGCATTATTCGCATAGGATCAGGATTGGAAATAGTAGATCAGTCCTACAGCTCTGAAAAAGGGATTCACCTAATATCTACCCCAGAAGGAAATGCCAATGCGGTGGCCGAGCATGTCTTAGGATTCATCTTATCTGCTTATAATAATATGTATAAAGCCCAGTCAGAGATGCAAGAGGACATATGGAGTAGAGAGTCTAATAGAGGCGAAGAACTTTGCGGGAAGACCTTAGCTATCATAGGCTGTGGGAATAATGGTAGCCGATTAGCAAAGCTCATGACAGGATTTGAAACGGAAGTACTTGTATATGATCTTATAGATGTGAGAGCCAGCATAGCCAATACTAATGCTAAGCAAGCAAGTATGGAAGAAATTTTTCTAAAAGCAGATATCGTTTCATTTCATTTACCTTTGAATAATGAAACTTGTCATTTCATAAATACTTCTTTTCTCAAAAAATTTAACAAATCCATTGATTTGATTAATACTTCCCGAGGTGGAATATGTGTTTTAGAAGATGTATGGGCAGGATTAGAATGCGGGAGTATTAAAAGAGCTATGCTCGATGTCTATGACTATGAGCCTTTTAAACTCGATGAAAGAGGCAAATCTTTCCTTAAGGCAAACAAGCTATTCCTTACCCCTCACATAGCTGGCTGGACATATGAAAGCAAAAAGAAGATGGCCGAAGGAGCTATAATGAAGCTAAATGAGCTCTGTTTTCGTTAAAGTGTCAAATTTTTTTATATTAATTAAACAAAACTGCTAAATTTGCTCGATTTTTTTGTGCACCTTTGCACTAAGAAAATAATTAGTAATAAAGAACTCAGAGAAGATATGAAGAAATTTTTACATGTATTAAGTGTCTTATTGATTACCTCTTTTACTGCTACCGCCCAGACAGGTGAGATACAGGGTCAAGTATTAGATGATAAAGGAGAGCCAGTGCCATTCGCCTTGGTTGTCGTTATTCGTGATTTAGCAGGTAAGGAGAGAACTTCTAAAGGAACTAAGGCAGATGCTAATGGTCGATATACTTTGAAAGGAATGAATCCGGGCAATTATAATTTGATGGCCACTTCTGTAGGCAAACAGCCTGCAATAGAAATTGGAGTAAGAGTTGATGCAGGCCGCCCAACAAATTTAGACTTTAGATTTGAACTAAAAACCAATACCAAGAAAGAAGTTGTCATTAAAGATCAGCGTAAAATAAAACCAACTAAATTAATAGATGTATTTGATCCGAAAAAGACGGTTTTAGGTGCTGATGATGTGAAGGAATCATCTGTAAGAGATGTCGCCACAATCGCGGCTTCTACAGGAGGTGTAGCTCAGGCAGATGTGGGAGGTGCGCTTAACGTAGGTGGTGGTAGAGGTGAGGGTCTAGTTTATTTCGTAGATGGGGTGAAGCAAACTGGTTCTCCAAATGTGCCTGCTAATCAGATAGAGCAGCTAGAGGTTATTACCAGCGGAGTTCCAGCAAAATATGGAGATGCAAATGCTGGAGTCATTAGTATTGTCACTAAAGGACCAGCAGATAAATTAATGGGAAGTATCGAAGGACTGACTTCGCAATTTTTAGATCCGTATGCATACAAATTAGGCAATTTTAGTTTGCGAGGCCCTATCTTGAGAAGAAAATCGACTATAGATTCTCTTAATCCAAATTCACCGATAAAAATTAAAGGCGAGCCAATATTAGGTTTTGCTATTGGAGGGGAGTATGAATATACAGGCGATGCTAGTCCATCCGCTGTTGGGAATTGGAAGGTAAATGATTCAAAATTGAAGCAGTTGCAGGACAACCCCTATAGACTTTCCAGCGATGGAACACGATTGCTTTTAGAGCAAGAATTCTTAACCTACAATGACCTAGAACCGATTAAGGCACATCAGAATACTTCAGGAAGAACTATACGATTTAATGGCAAACTAGATTGGAAAGTGATTCCAAATAGTACAAATATCACCATTGGATTTCGAGGGGAAGATTATGAATATAATAGCTTCATAGCTAGATATTCACTACTAAATTATCAAAATAATCCTATTTATAAGAATAAGAGTTTTAATGGCTATTTAAGATTCTACCAACCTTTATTTAATAGCGATAAACAAGTAAAAAAAGCCATAAAAAATACAACTTTTTCGTTACAATTAGATGCAACTCTTTCTGGCCAGGATTTTAAGTCACCCATAGGAGGTGAGAATCCATGGAATTATGGCTACATTGGAAAATTTGAAGAAGTGAGAGATTGGAATTACACTAGAGAAAGTGGTGGTGATGGGACTAAGGTATATTATGCCGCAAATCAATTTATTACATTGACGGATTTTGTTACTGCAAATGTATCTACTCCAAATGGAGTAAAATATACTCCAGGAACGGTAAATCCTCTAGCGGCATCGCAGACGGGCTCTTTCATAACAATGTATAACAATACAATTGGCAAAGATGGCGCTACTGGTCCTTTGAGATCAGTAAATGCCATCGAGAATGCAGGAGGTATTGTAAATGGTTTAAGAGCAAATGTAACAGTTCACGATTTGTTTTTCCCTTCAGCTAGGATATTTAATGGAATGCAAAAGCAGGATAATATGCAGTTTAGGGTAACTGGGGCATTTAACTTTGATATTCAACCGGTGAAAGCATCTAAAAATCTGAATAAGCATACTATCGAAGCAGGATTTGAATTAGAACAAAGAGTAAATAGTATTTATAACATAAGCCCATTAACTCTATGGTCTACAGCACAGTCGGCATTTTTGAATACTCATTTATCCGCGGATAATACCAAGAATTTCAACCCGCTCTTAGTAATGCGCGGTGGCACGATTCGCATGCGATTGCAGGATTATATAAAACAAGATTCTGTTACGTTTGCTGCATTTGACACCTTATTGTACGATAAGGAGGTCTCTGATGGTCAGCAAACTAATTTTTCACGTAATCTAAGAAATGCACTTTATGGCGGAGATTCGTTGACAAGAATAAATATTCATGAATTAGATCCAAATAAAATGA